CCTTTGCGTCTTATTTCTCATTTTAAAGGAAAGAGAGAGAAAGAAGAGAAGGAAGAAGATGGGAGAGAAGAAGATAAGGAGGGAGAAAAAGAAGAAGGCTATCGAGCATGCATGGCCTGCACACACGGTCCCGCGAGAAGCTGCGGGCATCTCTTCTTTCCTACTCTGCGTTAAAGTCCCCCAAAAAGCCTCATATGGACGTATTTCTGCCAAACAGAACTTCGTGCATTATGACGTGAGCCCTGTTATGCATATATTTCTATGGCTTTCAAGGCTCATTTCTTGATGCACATAGTTCCGTTTGGCAGAAATACGTCCATATAGTAATCGAGCATGACATTGGTCAAACATTTTTTCTCTGATTTGCCCAAAATTTGGTGACTGATTCTGGCCTGGTGAAGAATAGAGTTGATCTAGTCTCAATAAAATTTTAAGTAGATAACGTTCACCCCATCCAGGAAAGATTATATGTACTTTCATCTCCTCTCGTTGGTTTTTTTAAACAACATTTAGATAAAGGTTAGGGTGGGTTATGTAAGAAACAAGAGAAAGCATTTTTGAAGTGAACTTGAACGGAATAAAGTATTATGGAAAATACAGTCGCGCATCCTTCCGTTGACTCCGGTCCAGATACGCCAAGTTTCGCGAGGCAAAATATCAGCCGTTTCTGGATCCGCGAGATAACGAGGTCCAAGTTTCGCGCGAGTTGCGAACGTATAGTGGGAAGCTCGGTGACCAATCGGTTGCGCAAACGGCGAACCGGTTATGTTGGAGTAATCGGTTTCCCTGGGACACTTTACGAGCCCTCGGAACCGAAACCGATTTTACAAGGAATGCATCTCATAAGTTAAGACGCTCGGCAGCCCGATTGTTCCGAAGCGTTAACACCGTTTAGTCAGTTCTCACGGAGTCGCCACCGACCCCTCTCCGCCGGCCCTCCGGCCTTGGGCAAGGGGGTCAATTGTGGGGGCCCCGGGCCGCCGCGCCGCTTCCCCAGGTGACAATATAATTACCCCTGCGACCATGGGCGCGGGATCCCGCGGATCGGATTGACCAGCCCTCTTGCCGCGTTGCGTCTTGAAAATCAGTCATCACTTATCCGTAGACATAATCGCCATTACCACTCACGTAATGACAAGACTGTCCACTCACTGGAAAAAAAAACACATTGGATCTGGAGTCCAGACTCTTAAAAACATCGACAAGAAAAAATACTCTTGATTCAATCAGATTTAAGCTTAAATCAAGAACCAAGCCTTTCACGGAGCGGATTTCCTTTTGATTTAAGCTTACATCTGATTGAATCAAGAGTCCTTTTTCTTGTCGATGTTTTCAAGAGTCTGGACTCGAGATCCAATGTGTTTTTTTCCAGTGCTTAGTGAAAATCACCTCTTCTGACCTGGTGACTACGATTCAGATGCTTCTTCCCCGATCCAAAAAATATTTATTTTCGTTTGCCATCAAGGACGCTCGAAATTTAAACGAAATCAATTGACGGCTTGAAGAATTTTGACAATTCAAGGAGAAGAACTTCCAAGAACTTAAAAATTATGTTCAAAGCGTAATCTATAGGGTCAGGAAACTACTTATTGTAAGCCTTTTGAAAATGACGTTCCAGGCAATTTAGTGAGTATTTCCCCTGTAATAAAAAATTGACGTTATGAGAACGCTACTGATTACAACCTTCAATGCATGCAGAGAGCAAGATTTTTATTTTTCTTCATTTTATTTTTTTTTTTAAAAAAATTTCTATTTGCAGTATGGAACAAAAACTAACTCGAGGTAAACTATAAAACAAAATGAAAAATTACCTCAATAATCGAAGTTTTAGCTCAGCATTATCGACTGAAATCTCATACTAGCATAAGACTGAACGTAGTTTTTGACCGAAAACTCATTTAGTTCAAAAATGAAAAAATGTTACCTAGCTCTATCAATCTTGGTGGTCTCGATGAAATACGAAATCACATTTTCTATTTTCAATTTTTTATTTTTCCGAAAGTAAAAAAATTCCTCATTGTAAAAGCCTCACTTTCCAAAATAATGGTGTGATTATTCTTGTAATTTACAAAGTTCTTGTGATGTACGAAGTTTTTGTGATATTCTCTCAGGCATTTTTGCCGGAACCTGGAATAGAAATGTTCGATTACATTTCTCTTTTTCAAAAGAATGGCACATACGTGCAACTTTTGGAAGAAAAAAAAATTAAATGAGAGAATCGAATTGAGGATGAAGCGAACAAATTTGCGTCGACACTTGGCAATTATGCCGAGCCCTGCGCAATTTTAAAGGATTAACGATGCAGTACCAAATAAGGACAAAAGGATTTTTCTTCTTCAAAGACACGCTTCGCGACACTGGACCACGGCTGAGAAACGACGCTGCCAACTTGGAAGGGGAAAATTATCCTAACAGCCCCGCTCCTCAGGAAAATCAAGTTAGCGTGAAGTTGCGATGTAAAGAGGGCACTTACCTATTTAAACTTCAAGTTGGGGAACTCATGACTGATCTTAAGAAGCAAACTGCGTGTTCATTACTTCATACAGTCAATACTTCATGGAGAAGAATCCGATCCACGTACGGGAGACAAACACTTAGGGACCGTAGAACTTTTATACCAGTGCTTTTTAGACTTGCAAAGTTACAATCTCCTGACGCCTTATATTCGGAACAATCTGATTATTATTGTACATAGGATAATTGTTTACTCGTAGCTAGACAGCCAGAAGCAAACTATGACAAACTATAGCAGCTACAAAAATTTTCGATGAAATTGGTTTTGCTGATCCAGTCTCTAAATAGAACTCTTATCAACCTCTCGTGGGCCTCATTTTTTAGGTATAGTTGTAACCGTACTACTAGGGGTTCTTATCTGTGAGGAGCTTGTAATTGAAACAGAGATATTACCGTTCTTCTTCCCTCCCCCGCACCACCTCAAAATACGGTCCTCCAGGTGTTAGAAATTTAGAGCATTAAACCTTGGTGGGTATTCAAGCTTCGCTATCTTCCTTTGGAAATTCCTGTCGGAAAGCTGAATTCGCTGATGAGTCAATCTTCTCCAATCTCCTTGTAGAGATTCACCGACCAATGGAGGCGTTGGGTGCAGAAAGGGCACTTCTCAATTGCAGTGTCTGAGAATCTTCAGTGCTAATTTATATTCAGAAAGGAAACTGTTATTGAGTAAATTTTCTGAAATTTTACAATTCCAACATTGCGGAATCATTAAGCATATCGGTGGTGAAAGTTGCAACGAGTTACGTACATGTGCGTTACTCATAATGGATGAAACGTTAGCGGAGAGACACCGCAACCAAGAAATGCCCTTTCTGCACCCGGCGCTTTCGATCATGGGACCTGCAGAAACAGTAGTGCCTTTTTACAAATTATGATCCAACTGGACAGAGAGACTATGTCACAATTTGGAGCAAAATGACTTAGGAGTAATATCAAGCTGGGCTGTTTGCACGTACTTATCTGAAAAAATATTTCAGTCGAGAAAAAATTACTTCTATGAAAAGTAGGCGTTGAACTTTATCCCTACCAACAACACTCATGGAGGACTAATATTTCAAACCTCTTTTTCCTGGTTCCAACTTGATGCGACTTGGTCTCTTCCCGTTCCGTTAAACTCGGTCCATCTCGGCCCGAGAAAGCGAAGTTTTTTAGGGGACCGGCCCGATGTTACAACACCGCAAAATGTCGGTAGAGGGCACTAAGAACTCCGGCATGGCGCGATGCGGCGGCGGAATTACCCTCGCGAAAGCGGGCTCGGAGACAAACGGCGTCTGCAATTCCTCCCGTGAGCATCGTGCTTACTTTATTTCCCTCGCTTTTCCTCCGTATTCCAGCTCCATGTTTAATGATTTTGATGTTTAATAGATCTGGTTTTATTGACCGGGCGACCGGCGAACCAACTGTGACCGGTTGTCGTATCCGCGTTCGGGCAGACCCAGACCCGGCTACGACTCAAATTTGTCGACGTTGACACGAGGGATGGCATGGCAAGGTCGCAGTCAAAGGAGTCTTCGCGGTTACTCTTGAAGCCACCAGGAAAACCCAGTGGGATTGCTCCAGCTCCCCCTCCCCACTTGCCACTCAGCATCCCAAAAGTCTTATCAACCATATTGACACCCGACAGAGTGCAAAAACCCCATAGTTTTAATGGAAATTATGGTTTGCAATTTTGACTCAAAATTCTTGACGGTATTAAATGGCGTGTTACTTAGAAATTTGTCCGAAAATGGACAAGCTTTGGTCGGCTATTCTACTGTATACTCGAGGGCTCGAATTTGCCTCTTAAGGCACTTTTGGCTGATTACGTATGATACCAAGGGGCTATGCCCTCTAACCGCTCCGCGGTGCAACCCCCCGAGGCGCTTCGCGCCTCTTACGTACAGGTTTCAAACAGCATTAAGAATGAGGGTCGTTCTCATCATAATTATAAAAATGATAGAAATATTTTTAAAAAAATGGAAACCGGGGATTCGGGAGTGAAGGGGGCAGTGAAATGCTCCATTGCCGGCGCTGACCTTATACTGGTTTCTCTTACGTGATTTAATTGTAAGATATTGACTTTGGGAGTCTGAGTAATGATTTCCACGGACAACCAAACTAATTAAAGCATGACTGCGTATAATATGCAGAGACAAAAGATCCTCCACTAGTATATCTTGGCCATGGTGGAAGCTTCTACTTTCGGGACTTCAGCATTCTACTGTTGACTACATACATGGTTGATGTTCAACGTGTTGGCAGTTCCGTTTTGCAAACAAGCCAAAAATAGCCGAAGTTTGGGGAACTTGTTTGGCTCATGACGTCATCTGAAGCTCATCAGCCACCATGTAGGTAGGTCAACAGCCGAAATTAGGATGATGACTGTTGCTCCCTTATAATTGCCCATGAGGAATTGTTGAATCCCAAAGTAAAAGCTTCCACCTGTCGCCAAGAGGCCAGTGGAGGGTCCTTGTCTCTGATAATATGAGAGAGAATCTAGGGCTTACCTTTGGCGGAAGCAGATGAAGACTTTGAGTCCTGACTGGCGGACGAGGCGGCGGCGGCGGCGCAGGAGAGGGCGCGCGAGAAGTGCTCGTCCACGACGGAGGCGACGTCACCCGTGTAGTGCGTGAACACGACGCAATTGGTCGAGACGTACTGTGCCGTGCTCCTCTCCTCCTCCCCCTCCTCGTCGCCGCCTTGACCTCCACCTCCACCGCCTCCTCCCACACTCGATGACGCCCCCGCACCTGCAACAACATCAAAAAATTACGATCAACACTTCAAAAATCGATACATTTTCACGAATATCCAGAGCATAATACATTTCCAACTGGACATCATTGAACACTTGACAACCAGAATCATACACTGAGAAAAAAACTTGCGTGGGACCCGAACTTGAGGTCATATGGATCTCTGAATTTTTCGGATCACGCATCTAAAAACTTGAGGTCCAGCTGCCGAAGTTCGGGTCAGACATCTGAGGTACTTCGATATATACCGAAGGGTTCGGGTCACACATCTAAAGTACTCCGGTACATACCGAAGTGCCCTGACGTCTGACCCAAACTTCGGAAGCTCAACCTCAAGTTTTCGGATGCGTGATCAGAAAACTTCAGAGATCCATATGACCTCAACTTCGGGTCCCATGCACGAAGTTTTTTTCTTCGTGTAGGGTATTTTGTTTCCAAAGATTCAAGCTGATATCGACAACAAGCTCCTTCATTTCAGAGGGTATAAAGCACGTGCTCTTACCTGTCGAAATAGTGGTAGTATCCAGGTGTTTCACTTATTGCTATATGCTGGTGGTGTGCTGCACTGCAGCACTTACGTGCATAGGAAGGCATACGCTAAAATACGGTGCACATAGGCTTCAGACACTTCGAAACAGCATCTTTAATTAGTCCAGTTAAGAGAGGAACTAAACACGCAATTTGGCCAGGAACTCAGCGCAGAGAGGAATGATGACGAGGACCTGAGATGAAAAGGACAAGGCCTCGGCACTGCGGTCGACATGTAACACATATTAGCGCCTACAAGACTGCATGAATACTTCACCCATTGCGTCAAACACTGTGCGCCGGTCAGGAGCAGTTGACGTGAAACGCGTAGAGCCTACAAGACTGCAGGAATACTTCACGCATTGCGCCAAACACAGTGCGATCAGCCCGGCGCAGCGGTGGAAGTTAAAATTATTAAACCACATTTATGTTTGTTCTTTCAATTGTTTGGTTCTTTTCTTATACACGGAGGACCTTGTTCACACAGAGATGTTTATGGAACTTAACTTTTGCGCAAAGTTCCGTGAAATTTTGCTAGTAGTGTTGACAGGGCTTTCGCAAAAAATGTACTCAACACGAGTAGGTAAACGCGTCTTATGCACCCTTCCCCCTCCGGCACGTTCACTTGATGGTTTTTATTGATGTTTCAAAACGAATGAGAAGGATGCGGCAAAAAACAGGCGGCCCATGGGCGGCAAGTAGGTAAATCCGGCCCTGCACTCGAGCAGAGGCGTTGCGTGCTTTGCGACACATCGATTTATCTGCCATTTAAACCTAAGGAAAAGGATCGAGAAACAGGGTGTTCGCGACGAACACCTTAATAATCGATCTTTCACCATAACTCCAGTAGGGGAAATATCGATAATCGATCATTCACGCCTCGCCACTGTGCTCGAGGAGTGCGCGAATCATGAAAATGTGTATTTTATGAGTTGCAAACCGCATATTTCGCTGGAAATAGTGTCATCTATGCGTATCATAGAATTGTTTTAAGTAACTAAGTAAAGAATAAATTAAAATCAGGATTTTCTATGATTATTTTATTGAGAGTGAGTTTTTGCAGGATGGAAGGAAGAAAAGCAAGATCCAATAAGACACCGAGCTACACTGCAAATAAATCTCGGTTGATTTATTACTAGGAAAAGGGTAAACTTACCAAGAATTCAGGGTTCTATTTGATCCCAGTTTATTCTTGGTAAAATTACCATTTATGGATTTGGTAATTTTACCGAGAAATCTCGGTAAAATTATTGAACTTTCTCGGTAATTTTTCTGGACCTTGGTAAAATCACCAATATTTTTTATCGACTGTGGTAGAATTACCGAGATAAAATGGCAAAGTTACCGGGAATTGATTACCAATAAAAGCGGTATTCTTATCTGAAAAAAACAGTAAAAATACAGGTTTTTAGGTAAGCTCACCAGTCTGTCTTGGTAAAATTACCAATAATTGGTAAAAAAAAGTGAGATGGTAAAGGTACCAACGGACCGTGGTAAAAACGGCGAGAATTTTTTCTCAGTGTACAACCGAAACCGATGATTTTCCCGTCCTTGCCTCCTTTGCTTCGTTTGTCTTCCTTCGGACAGCTTCAATTTGTTGAACTTGATAAATGCATGCAAATTACAAGCTGTGAGTAGTCGAACGTCGGGTCCTTTCTGATTCCTTTCGAGGCGAGCCTCGAGGGGTTCGAGGGGGAGGGGGAGGCGGAGAAGGAAGGAGGAGGGGTAATNNCGTTCCAGGACCGCGCGAGCACGGTGGCTAATCTGGATAAATTGCCGTCAGCCCGCCTCGGGATTCGATTCCGCCAACTGCGAGGCCCCTATTTCCTTCACGCGGCCCCCTTTTTGTACTCGTCCCCACTTTTTCACCCCCCCCCCTTCATTACTTGCTAACAACTCCGCTCACTCGACTGAAAAGTTGGATTCTGTTGGGAAAATCTCATCGCTGGTTCAAGGACCCCTCTCGAGATTTTTCCTGTCGTGTTATACGTTTCGTTTAAAAAGATTCAGAAAAAAAACTAAGTATACCGATGGTCTGTATGATACGTTCTACATTGAATTTTGACACTAAAAATTTTATGAGATGAATACAGTACGTAACCGTAACAGTATGTATCAGGGGCAGGGCATGATAATCGAAAATCAAAATTTTTCCATTAGGAGCTATGGTAAGGAATAGATCATTATGCCGTTCGTTAACGACCAGAGGCGGATCCAGCAAATTGGCAACACTGGAGTCCCCCCATTTCACCCTATGTAAAAAAATCGATTCTTATCGGAGCATACTGACCCCTCTAAGAATCGATACATTCTCATAGGTTTAAATGTATGAAGAAAAACAATGTTGCCAGGTTGCTAGATCCGCCAATGTAAATGAAGGGACACATAAGGAGAAAAAAAATTTCGGGAGGATTAGATCTCGCTCTATAATACATGTAAAATTGAATTTTCCTTTTTAATTGAAAACATAAAGGGTCCAGAAAAACTTTCCTCATGTCCTTGCGCTTAACCTTATCAAGCAAGCTCTCGGAGGCGAGATCCTGTACTTGTTCAAGAACTTACAAAAATTCCAACTGATTTTCCATGCACGACGAGGCAAGGTTGCCGAAGTATACTCTATTATCTCATTACTAGAATATTAGAACCTAAGAGAAGGTTTTCCTTGTAATCCAAAGTAGGCAACCCCGGCAAGTAAGCACCGTCAGGTCATTTCCCATCACGAGCGCGATGTTCTTACACAGTTCGATTGTTCAACAGATTACGGTTCCGCTTTGATCCCCCCCCCCGACCACTCTTGGGTCCTCAGGGGCGCCTCACCGATGGAGCTTTGATTGCATGCCGGACCGCTTATTAAAATATTCCTCTTTGTTTTGATTTTACGTCTTCGTTAGGCTAATTTATCTCGGCTTTAATGCGTGTATTGTGTAAGGAAGGGGGGCTGGAGCGGTCGTCAAGTATTTCGTCTTGAGCATGCCTCTGTTCCACTTCGGTGGCGGTCAAACCTCTCTCATGCTCAAGGTTTCTCAAAAACTGAAACCGACTTTATTGGTCGGGTAAACATTTTAGTATACATAACTTTTCACGCTCACACCGAATTCAGGAGCATGATTTCACTGTTGAAAATCCCGGCGCGAAATTCACGCTTACTCAGTTGCTATTTTTACCACCATTTACTCTGAGTGCATGGATCCGGTGCGAAATAAGCTCGGCGCGAATTTCGTGCTCTGTCGGGAGTGAAAATCTGACAGGCAAACGTAAACCGGAACGGCCGCAGCATGGATTGCGAACTATACTGAAAGATCGAACATTTGTATAGAAAATCGATATAGTTGTCAGTTATTCCAAAATGATATGCTGGCAAAAGAATTTTTCTCTCTAGATAATATAAAACACGAGTTAGTAAGTGGAGTCATTACAAACAGTTTCAGACGTGTAAAACTAAGGGATAGAGATGCGAGGACCTTTGGGTCGAAGATATGAGGTCATTATAAAGGATGACAAAAATTGGCCAATTAGACATAAGTGCTCTACATGTGGCAAATATACATGAGAAATTGCCGGTTGAGACACGAGCAAAAAGACTCAGATTTGGCATTCGCAAATTTTTCGACTTGCTAATTGCTGTTGCTCCCACCCTTGGACAATTTATCAGCGACCAAGTACTTGGGGCTCCAATAAAAAGCCGCTTTAAAAAGGTGCGCAGGAGTCTGTAACCTGTAACCATGTAACAAGTAGATAATCATCTCAAGACAGGAGCCGGATTCTTCCGGGTTAAATGAGACGTAAATAACCGCGCGACGAGCTCAAAGGTGAAAGGAGGAAAAACTTTCTCGACCTGACGAACAGAGATGCCGCTTCGTCCTCCACTGAAATTCCCGCCGTTTCGCCGACTGAGTCAAAGAGGAGTTTTTTGCCTATTAAAATTAGTGTCCAAATCAAATTGAAGAAAATAAAAAGTCTTTCGAACAGAAAAATCGCGCTAAAAGTAAGAAAGATAAAAAATAAAATAATCCTCGGGAGGATAAATGGATTACATTTTGCAATAAGGAACCACTATCTCTGGTGCTTTCATGAAAACACATATCTGCAACGGGAAACCAATGGCATGTATGTGGTTTCTGAAATGGGCCAGAAATAGTGGTTCCTTGTTGCAAACTGTAATCCAACATGGTAAATCTTTACTATGTCAATTGCACTTCTTCCCAATTTCGAGCAAGACTGCGCTGTCGGTCTTGTTTCAAAGTTGTTATCTGATAAATAAAATCATTATTAAAAAAAAAAAAAAAAAAAAAAAAAAAAAAAAAAAAAAGATGGTAAATCTGCACATTTACCACTAATTTCACACCATAAGATGTGACATACTGTGGTTATTCTCACAGAGATTTCACAATTAAACATCTCGTCGAATTAACAACATTTGAAAATTAACGTAATTATTTAACATTGATTTTCTTATTTTCAATGGCGTTCGGTGTAGATCCAGGCATGATTAATTTTATATGACTGGTTACTAGCAATAATCTCGAGGTTGCGGTTAAAAATTGAGTCCTCAGTGGATTATCAGGGTGAAATAACGGTACTTTTATCATTTATTTTTAATTATTACGTTCCCTCATATCTTGAGTTCATAGATTTATGATTGCTTTCCCGACACATAAAGAGATTCTTTGTGCGTTTTTTTTTTTTTTTTTTTAAAGCGAGGATTTTTTTTTCAAATTTAAATACGATCTGCTTTCTTAAGAACTGCTCCAGTTGAACTTTCAAGTACTTAAAAGCCAACGATTCTGAGAAAGAATTATATAGTTTTGAAATTTTAAAAATTAAAACTATCTCGTGCGAAACAAATACGCACCAAAAAAAGGGGGAAGAGAGGGGGGATGGGTCTAGTTCTGGAAATTACAGGACTAAAGATAAACCCAACTAAGATAAAATATACCCAAAATGTATGCGTTTTTGTGTGCGGTATTAATTATTTTTCGGAAAGATATGTATGTAATGTTTCGTTACGTAAACGGACTGATCTACGATATGAGGCATATGGTTTTTATCTTGCAGAATATTTGGGAATTTGCCTCGTAAATTTGGCAGGCATGCGGCAAACAAGAAAAAAGTGACATTAATGAACTTGAGTGAATGTACTTGAAGAAATTTTCCCCTCTGGGCCCCGGTTTTTTCACGTGAAAGAAAAACAGCGTCTTCGCATCGATGAGCAAGCAATTTAGAGCCCCTTCTATGCCTATTTAATTTCGCCAGCGAGCCCGCTCTTTAAAATGAAACAATTTATTCTTCCTCGACCAGCCCTGCTTCTCTTCTCATTTCTTTATCTTCCTCGCATCTTCCTTAACTTTTAATTTGGTGTGTCTACTTGATGCAGCCTCCCTAGATTTTAAAGACGTATGTTTCTTGGTCGCTTATAAGCACGCCTGTATTCATTATTATTTTTTTTTTTTTGGGGGGGGGAGAATGAGTACGAGATAAGAGTGCTATATTTTCTAAGCTACATTAAAAGCCTTTTGGAATTGGACTTCATACAACTGACCGAAACAAATAAAGAATCATCCAAAAAATGGGATACATGCCTCTCCTCGCCAAAATTTGAAGAGAGTATGAGAATATGCTGCAGGTAAGTTATGATGAAGTACTTCAACCGTAAATTCTTCACAATCCCTAGAAGTCAAACTTAATACTTTGGAACCACTAATTTCGTTCTCTCCGTTGGTGTCGATTTTTCTTCCTTTTTTCGTGCATTGTATCATTTTAAAAATAAATAATTTGTTGTGCTTTAAGGTCTGTGAAGATTAAGCACTTTTTCTGTTCTACGTTTCCTATGTTTTTTTTTTCTCTCCAAATTTCCACGTAGGAAGGTTTACGAACACAATATAAAATTCGTTCATTAAAAACAGTGTCGAAGCGTGAATGGTTGATCATCGATTTTTCCCCATTCGAAGCTGTGGTAAAGAATCGAGTATTAAAGTCCTCGTTGCGAACACCCTGTCTTTCGATCCTTTTTCATAGGTTTAAATGGCAAATCAATCGATACATCGCAAAGCACGCCACGACTTTGATTTAAAACATTTACGTTTATTGTATTTTTAGGGAAGAGAACGAATGAGGCTATTTACCGGTTTTAATTTGTAAACCGATGAAAACATACTGGAGCTAACAATACACCGGAAAAAAACACATTGGATCTAGAGTCTAGACTCTTTGAAAACATTAACAAGAAAAAGGACTCTTGATTCAATCAGATTTAAGCTTAAATCAAAAGGAAATCTGCTCAAATTAAGATGCTTGGTTCTTGATATAAGCAAAAATCCGATTGAATCAAGAGCAATTTTTCTTGTCGATGTTTAATTCAATGTGTTTTTTTTCCAGTGTAAGTTGCGTTCTTTTACTTCAGTCCCTAGCCTCTCTCTATCGCTACTTTCTCTGCAGACTTCTTATTATGAGCAGACGATTGCATTTTGAAAGGTGCAAATTCATGAGAAACATACCTTCGACACTGGGCGAGCCGTCCTCGTCTTTATGCCTGACGCTGGAGGGTGGGGGAGGGGAGCCGGGGCTACCAACGCCCCCGCCGCCCGAACTAACTGAGCCAGCGCTACTGTGGTGTGACGATGCATGGTGGTGCAGATATACCGGTTCCGATGACGTCGATGGCTGCTCCAGAGATCTTTGTACATTTAACTGAAACAAAGCAAAACAAAAATCTTAATGCACTTTTTCGAGCAAAACAAAAACATGACATTGACTAACATTTACCTATGAATTTTTAAATGCTCAGCCATTCAAACCCATGGCTAAAATGAAGCAACTCGAACGATGAATCGTGGCGTGCATGTTGGGTGTGCAATTCGGGGG